TTACGCATCACCCAAACCTGAGCCCCAAACCCTATAACCCCGGTTAAAACCCCTGAGGTTTGCACGGAGGGTTATAGCATGATGGCTATGTTGTGGTGCTGTTGCGGACTCCGACTCAAAAGGCCCGAAGCTCGGAGCCTCCAGAGCCCGAATCCGTGAAGCCCGGAAACCCCAAGCCCCGAAACGTCACAACCCGAAAGGCTTAATGTTGGGGCCCAAATAGTTACCACGACTAATTTTGGGGGTCTTTAGTACAATCAGAATGGGCCCCAGAACCCTATTGAAATTATGAAAGCCCCTGCATCACAGCTCTCAGCCGCAAGCCGAAGCCCTAAAGTCTCTACGCCACAAACCCTGAGTTTTGGTTCGGGCATGTTCCAAAGATCCCAGAATCAGGCGCTGGCAGTTTGCTGCACTTTGCACCCGAATCCCTAGACCTTAAACCTTCAACCCTAAATCCCACGCATCATGTCCAAACCTTTAAATCCCAAATCCGAAACCCATAACTTTCTTGAAGCTTGCCCACGCAGCTGCTGGCTGTTTAGCAGTCAGACACATGGTCGGCATAATATAGGGGCCTTAATAATTAGAATAGGGTTTGGGGGGTACATGATACCATAATTAGAATAAGGAATCCCCAAAGCCTTATTCTAATCATCAAGGCCCCTACATTAACCTAAGACCCATGCTTCCCAGCAGCGGCCCTAAACTCGAGTGCATTACCGGTAGGCCCCAACCCTATAGTGATGGGTATGATTTTTAGCACCTTACGTTCATCCTTAACGTAGGTTATCGGGCCCACATGAATCTTTGAAGCGCCAAAACTCTTCAACTCTCCAATCCCACTTCTCTTCCAAATTGTTAATTCCACATCGCGGAACCCTAAGCCGAAACACATTGTAATCAACCCACACCCTGAACCTTAAACCCAGATCAAAACCCTAAGACCCAAACCTAAGACCCCAACCTTGTGCCTTGAACCCTGAACCCCATACCCGAAGCCCTCAACCCGAAACCCCCAGGCCCGGATACCCCGCGGCTGAGATAAAACGGCCTGAGCCCTAAGCCCTAAACCCCAAACCCTAAAAGCCCAAAGCCCTAAACCTCAAACCCTAAACCCCAAACCCTAAACCCCAAACCCTAAAAGCCCTAAACCCTAAACCCTAAAAGCCCCAAACCCCAAACACTAAAAGCCCTAAACTCCGAAATGCCAGGAGCGCATTCACAGCTCGGAGCAGATCCTGGGCCGAAGCAAACAGGAGTCCAGGGTTCGTGGCGTTGAAGGGTTCGCGGCTTTGGGGTTCAGGGGTCTAGAGGTCTGGGGGTTTAGGGTTTATTGGGTTTAGGGTCTAAGGGTTTCGGGTGAAGGGGTCTATATAGGGGTTTATGGTTTAGGGGATAGGGTTTTTTTGCGGGAATCTACGAGCATTCGATATGAGAATATCGGTTTGCAGTGAGCGGCTACATTGTAAGAGTCGCAGAGGTCGAAGAGGTTTGGTCCCTTGGGAAACCGGTCTTTGTTGCTCAAGGTAAGTCTACTGTACAGAAGGGTTTTGCATGTTGCAGGCTACTATATGGCTTCCTTCAGGATTCCTTGATACAAGCCCTAAGGGCCCAGTGACCAAGGGGTGTTATACATCATAACCCCGAAACCCTAAACCCTAAACCCTAAACCCGAAACCCTAAACCCTTAACCCTAAGTTCTATGGGACGCCTCGCAGGAGCACAAGCGCCTCGCAAAGGAGCGGGACGCCGTCGAAACCATCATCGTGGAAGCTCGGAGAGATGGGTTTAGGGTTTAAGGAGATGATGTCGACGGAAGCATAGCGGGTTCTCCTCAGGATATAGTATTCAAGTTGCTGTTGTAGTATCTTGGAATGAATAACAATTTGCTTATCGTAGTCAGGAGCTAGGTTTCATCCTTAGCAGAGGATGATGTAAACTCACGGGCTTTTTGAAAGATAGCACTCGCATTTTGGGTCCCAAGAGGGTCCCTGGGATATGGTGTAGCCATCCCCAAGCATCTATTCTCGATATGTACAGGTTGTATGGACCTCAATGGTTAGACTCGGGGTGCATGGAGGCGTTACAGTCTTCAGAATGATGCGTCCTTTTGTTGCGGATCTCATTGTTGGCGCGTCTACAAAGGCTGCCCAAACCCTGAACCCTGGACCCCACGCAAGATGCAACACCCTAAACACCCTAAGCGCCTACACATTGTAAGAGCCTTCAAAAAGATACCAAAATCCTGAGCACCCCGATCATACCATAAAGACCTTCGACACCCCAAACACCCTCAAACCTTCATGCCTGAGCATCCCCATACCTAAGAATCAAAGGGCTCTAAGGGTGGGACTTATGTGGTTTGGGACCCCCGCCGAGCCGAGGAGAAGAAGGAGCAGCTTGAGGCTGCGAACTTCGACGCCGACGGTCTCTCGGCCGTGTTGGGTTGAGGGTTTGGGCTTAGGCTTTTGGGGGTTTAGGATTTAGGGTTTAGGCCTTTAGGGGTTTAGGGGTTTGGGGGTTTGGGGTTTCAGGGGTTAAAGGATTTAGGCCTGATGAATGGAGGCTTTACGGTTGAAGGCTTGTAAGAGAGGGCTTGGTGTGTAGGACTTAGGGGGAGTCTTGCAGGTGGTTTCGATCATGGGTGTTCCCGGAACCCTAAACCTTAAACCCCAACTCCTCAACCCTACCCATAGGCCCCATAGTAGTTCCTTGTGGGGATTACCTAATAGGATCCTAAATATAAGCCATATAAGCCACAAAAAGGAACTCGATGGGGCCTATGG